CTCCAACTTTCCCAAATTAGCTGAAAGTTTTTTTTCATTTGTAGTATTCTCGTTTTGTTAGATGGTGCAGAAGAATAACAGGACAGATGGAGGAGACAGGTGGGATGACAGGCAACAATAGATTTGAAGCCACGCAGTGAAGATAGCATGCAACACAGTCCACTGAGCTGTCACAAAACCCAGACCCACCACTGTATTTGTGTACACCTATATTCAACACCGTGTCAACATGATGCGTCATGGCCAATCACACCTTAAATGTAATGCAAAAGTGAATATTACAGCCATCAGTTGCGGGAGGAGAACTTAGCAAAACCACAGTGTAGAAATACTTTGTTACAGGAGAGTCTTACATTTCAAATTTTACTGAAGTCACTCATTGTGCAGAATTTCAGAATAATATAATTTGTGCTATTGGATTATAAATATTGATTCATTAATATGTTAATCACTTTAAAGGAACAGTTCACCCAAGATACTCAAGATAATCCACAGATCTTATAGCGAGCTATTTTCTGTTTTCCAAACTACACCCACTACACACACTGCGCAGAAGAAAAAGGGCATCTGCTCATGGACGAGAGGCTCATGCCTGAGTGACTGACAGTGTTACAGTGATATAACGAATAACGAAGTAATGTAACACGTAACCAACAGGATTTCGGATAATATTATTACATTTACAGTGTCAACAACCACCCCGAATAAACTGTTTATTATTTTCATTTTTCACTCATCACACGATCTACATTGCTCCATTTCTGCCTGTACACCACCAGAAATAACATCCCCCTAAAAGTTTCTTTATGCTTCTGCGTATACTTAACGCAACATGCACGCAGTTGCTCCACAGTTGCTGTATGCCTATCATAGTTCTGCGTTCTGTTGGTCTATGTCACTATGCAATTCCCCGCCAAAGCACTTGGGGGCGCGGTGTTCTTTTATATACCTACCTAGACTCTGTGACATCTATGGTCGTTGCTCGTTCATTGTTTGTTTATCTTCCGGCTTTGCTCTAGTCACAGTGAAGATGCAGACTGAGAGAGAACGACTGTTACTGGAGCTCGAAATGATCGACATTGAACAACAATTGCTACAAATGTTACGACGATGACAAAGAGAGAGGCGACTGCGCTGATGGTCTGTATGCCCTTTGAATGGCTCGACTTTTGAAAATGGCGGTGTTGTGGTACTGCAGCAGGAAGTGAAACCTTGCGAAATGCCAGAAATGATGTAGTTTGAAGGACCAATCATAGCTCTTGCGGTCTGCGTTGGGTCTGTGTTGCCTCGAAGCGTGGTTACAATGTTTGGAGGTGCATGCCGCATCGTCTGCGTCGGTCGCAGAGGGACGCAATGCCTCCGCAATGCTTCTGCGTTGTAGGTACGCAGAAGCATAAACCTTGCTTAAGGGTGTTGCGTCTTGTCATGTCATTTAATATAAGCTACTTTATAGAAGGGTGCTGGTGATCATGTGCGTTATCATGTCCATTGTTTTTCCATTCATTTAACCTACAATATCTCCCACTCTGCTTTTACGTCCTATGGCTGCTAGAAAGTAGCAGAGATAAGAAGCTGACCTTTGGTTTGTTTTTTCCTTGTCCCGGTGATGGACACATATAGATGATGGTAGTATATATGTTGAATGTTTCCATTCACCCCTACAACAGCAGAGCAACACTGGCACACAGTCATGTTCCTAGGTGTGTCCTTGAGCTCTGTTGTATTAGTTTGTGCTAGTCATAGTGACTGACTCATACACTATTCCACTGAGTAAATGTATTTACTAACCACATTATCTCCAAAAAATAGCAGTTTTTTAAAATAAAACATTCATCTCTTCAGAACAGCAACAATTAGATACTTCAAACTCATTACTGAGAAACCCAAAAGCCTTACAGCTAGAGTTCAGACTCTCTCCAAACACAAGCTTTCTGAACTTATTTTTCTTTTCTTGCTCTGGGTTATTTTACTTCCTGCGCTAAATATCGGATTTGTCAATAAGTTTGTTGGTGAAATGAGGACAACGTGGTTTCACTGAAAGTCTAAGTTTCAAAGCCATTATACTGTGTTCTTTTCACAAAAGGAAAACAACTAGTGATTTTGGCTCAACATTCAAATATATATAATCACTGACCTCCAATTTTTGTCTACAACATCAAAGCTATTTGCCAATAAAGCAAATTTGTCATTCACACAGTACAAGAGCAAAACCAGGATGTAAAAATGTTATATTAAATGAAGAAAGAAAGTATATTGCCCTTATCTTGTCGATTTAAAATGTGCTGCTTTGTCGCTACCGGTGAAATGACAAGGGAATAAAGCAAGATGGGAAGCAAGGGGGAGTATTGATTGATGCATTCATTTAGGTTTGTCAGTGCAAGACTGTTTCAGAATGAAGAATAGCCCACCTCTTGGCCAAGCAACAAAGTGACAAGTTAAACATGTTCATGGAGGACATTCTGATACAAAGCTGAGATCCAAAGATAATGAAATAAGCCCTAAAATCAGTCACCAGCACAGACACGTACCTCAGGTTTTCATATAAAGTAATAACATGAATGTTCACTGTTCAGTCGATAAAGCACTTTCCTGCCCCTTGGTTTAACTTTGGGAGAGAAAGAAGAGAAAATTGTAGAGTAGGGGATGGCAATTAGAAAGAAGGACGCAGATGAATGTGCTGGCAAAAAGAGAGGGAACTGATACAGTATGTCTCTATTTTTGAAGGCTGCTGCACAAAGGGCTGTTTAAGATGAATGGTGCCCCCTCCGCACACAGGGACACACACACACAGACACACACAACTCTCGTTAAGTGTCACTTTCTGAATGTGCCGAGCCTCGCACCTGCCCAGTGCTGTCAGTCTGCCAGCTGTGAGAGCTGCAGCTGTCTCGAAGGTATCAGCCGCTCCATATGCAAATGCATTCCTCTTCTTTATGATGTGGATTCACTTGCCCACATCTCTGGTCACCTCCTTTCAGACCGTCAGTCAGAGGCACTTGGTTCCATCCCTCCATCAATCCCAATCTTTCCCTTAATCGCTTTCCTCCATTATATCACCTGCCCTCCACACAGGCCCCATAACTCATCTTCATTTCCCCTCTTCATCCCTCCTCTGCAGTATCCTGTGTAGCCAGATCTCACTCTGCAGGACGATTCACTTTGGAGGGATCGACCAGGGATGACAGCAGAGGTGTTACTATCCTTTGATGTTCTGTAATTGTGCTGACCATGTGTAGCCACAACCACACTCACACACACACACACACACACACACACACACACACAATACGACCTGTTTGCTGTGTTTCAAGATGCCATCAGAGGGAATTTGAGCAGAGAAAGACTTTGATGTCTACAAGCTTTACTTTGAAGGAATTTTCCCAACATGAGCCCACGAGCACACTGAGATCCTCAAACAACACATCTTTGACTCTTCCAAGGTTCAGGCCAAAGACCAGAGGTGATCAGGCAGGTGACCGCCGGTCAAGACGTTTTTACACAGACAGTTGCCCCATGTCTGGGAGCCATGTGGCGAACATAGACGTCTTTCATGTGTTGTGAAAACAAAATAAAATAAAATCCAGAAACATTGTTTAAAGGTTAAAAGCCACATCTCTGCATGCAGGCGTGATGTCACAAGTCATTGTGCTTTAAATGGTTGGGCTGAAGGGGAAATGCACAATTTTGGTGCATTTAAGATTTCAAAGAGCCTGAACACACCATGAGTGAACACACATAAAAAAAATCAAGCCTGAGCACAATGGACAGACAAGTCAAGTGCACTTCTTTACCAGCTTTGGTTATTGCCTAAAAAATATGCAGTGTGCGATAAAATGACTGATGTTAGTCCAGTATTGTTGAGGGGAAGGCTGAAGTGTGATACCATAGCCAGTGTGGTATTAGCTGTTGATGCTTATCAGTGAGTAGGTCCCTCATCATGACCCACCACCAGGGTGGCAGTAATGAATTACATTTAGTCTAATTTTAATGGAAAAAAGTTTTGTATATTTAAACTTGCTTACTTAGGCTCCTTACTATTTTGACTATGAAATACAGGTGGGCAAATTGATACCAAAACATGGATACTTTTGATGCTTTGCTCTCATTTTGGACATCGATTCTGGCGTCAATAGGATTGACACCAAAAACAAGATTACTTTCTCCCGTCTATATCGTGCCAATTTGTATTTCAAGAGTAAAATCTCTGTGCAAACAATATTCCATTGTCGTGAACACATCTAGTGCATGTTCTGTTTGCTTCTTCAGTAATTTTGTGTTGTCTGCACTCAGTTTAAATTGCCACATAATAGCAGAGATGACTAAATGAGAGAGGCCATTGTGGGTCAGAATAGCCAGAAAAGCATACTGCAAAATCCAACCGAATGTAATAGAACATCCTGGTATTTTTGGCATACTGTATTTGACATACTATGGATGTATTGTAAATCTTTTCCTGGCATACTATACTATAGTATGGTAGTACAGGTACTGAAATGCACAGACAGAGTTCACTGGCAGAGTCTGTTCAGAGAGGCTCAGACAAAGAATATCCAGGTGTATAGTTGTGAAATTAATGTGAGGCAAATCATATCTGTAGCATTGGTTAATGGTACATTTTCAAACTGCAATCAGTAATCATTAGCTGTCACTTTAGCAGACTGATAATTAATTTCATAAATCATGACTGCTTTACCCTACATGAAAGTACATTAGCACCTAAGAGTAAGCATAAAAAGTATTATATTGGTATTGATATCGGTGATTCTGGCCCTGTATTACTTGGTATCGGATCGAAACCAAATTGTGTGGTATCGACCACCCCTTGTATAAAATTAATAAAATTAATATATAAATAACTAGGTCCAATTTTACTTTAGTACTTTTTTTAATCTCAAGTAGGCTATTTTGCATGTCTACATTTGTAGTTGCATCCTTACAGAGTATACACAGAGAGTCACGTGACCCCCAGAGACAGGTCAACTCACACACCGGAAGCGATACCTGTTGATTGTGTGCGTCCACAGGTGGAGTAGCAGGGGGTGTGTACGGCTGCACGCGGGCCAATTTGTGAGCAAGACACACAAATGCACAACAGTGCAATACGATTAAGGATGGCTCATAATCAGGTTAGCATTAATAGCCTATTAATGTGGCACAGTTACAAATGTTGCATCTTTTTTATTAATCACGGTTTTATTTCAGCACGAGGAGAGCACGCAGAGTGACTCCAATCAAACACGCCCACGGATGGACCGAGTTGAACAGGTGCGTGCAGCTTCCGGCTAGCATGCTAATATGCTAAGTGCTAACGCGGCGGCTAACTGAGGAACTTCAGCCTTCAGTGCGGTGTGTGAGGCGTCTCTGCTGTTGGTGACAGTGATCCCTGATGTGTCTGCAGGGCCTCATTCAGCTCAACTTGTTAGAAAATGTGCGCGGAGGATGGACCATGATGCACGAGCAGAGCAGAGGACGGAGGAGGACTTCACGGTGCACGAAACTCCCACAGGTGAGTACGACATCAAACGCATCACTGTAACTTAGTGTACAGATGAGAGTGACAGAGTGTGATGATGGACTACAGTCGCTGTACTGTTGCCTGCTTTGGTGATGTTTTGTTGACTGTGTAAGAAGTGGCAGGCTATTTTACTTAAAAGATTGCTTGTTGCAGCCATCACTGTGTAGGCCTGCATAGCTCCTGTTATTTATGTTGCTGTTTTTGTGTGGCTGAGTTATTTGTCTTCTTACTGGTTAATTCTAATAATCCTATTCAGAGAGAGGCGGTTGTGTGTTTGTAAATGATAATCAGTTGTGTGCACAGGCTGCAGAGTGCCTTCAGAAATTGAGCTTATTGTTTGTTTGGACATCAGGGTCCTGTGGTGTGATGTTTCATTATTGTTAACACTCACATTTAATACATGCATTATATCCTGTAGCCTTAAGTTTATCTTTAATTGAGCAGTAGTATCATGTATACTCTTTGAAAATGTAATGCCATAACATTTACTCAGAGCACATTTTATGTAAGTACATTTTTACAAAAGTAATTTTACTTTTACTTGAGCAATATTTCTTTAAATAAGTATTTCACTTTTGGAAATATGGCGTTTTAGTAAAACTAGGCTGTCTATGCTGTAGAAAGACAAATACTTTTTAAACTGGTGCTACAGAACCAGAGAAAACTGAGAAAAGGGATGCCCAAGAGGTAGAAAGCCTACAACATTCAGAATGCACTGCATCGCACCAGATCAATTAACACTCCTGCTGGTGGATGGCATAATGCAAAGACGTCTGTTTGAAACAATTGCTGTCAGCTGACAAGAAACAATCTGGCATTGACATTAAACAGAAAGCTAAAATATGTTTCTGAGAACATTTGAGGTGAGAAATATGCAACTCACTCACAGAATCTTGGTTCATATTTGATCAGTGCTGCTTAGTTTTACTGTTTATCTTTGTTTTTCTGGCATCCCTTTTCACTGTGCAGAGAACATTATGGCCCCCACTTCCTGTTCATAAACTCTCGCTATTACAGCTAAACAGGGCACTAAAATATGCTTCTAAAAACAGTGTAGGGGAGAAAAAGGCAACATAATCTTGATATCTATCGATCAGCACTGCCTAGTTTTACTGCTGGATTGGATATCAGTCCGAGCTTGGGAGAGACAGGGGTGGGTCTGCCTCTCAGTATGATTCTATACTCTTTGTGTCTGTGGTGGTGACATGGTTGGGGGGCAATATGAAAATGTAGAAGTACAGCCTGTAGTTTGATCAACAGTCCAAGGAGCCAGTGAAACTCCACTGGATGATGTAAATTTGGTCATATGGCATATGAGTTTCACTGGAGGGCGAGGAGCCTAAATTTAAAAAATAACTAGATACGGGATGCCAAGATGGATGCATACGCCAAAAAAGAGGCCTCCTGGTTTGCTTCCACGGTATACAGCCCACTGAATATGCGCAGTAGTATTCCTCCTGCTGGCCCTACCCACGAGTTCCTGCTGGCTCAAAGACTGAACAATGGGATGATGTCACAGATTTTTAAATTGTTTTTCTCAGGTTGAGGAAAGTTTTCAAATATAAAACCACCCTGGCACAAAAATTCAGAATAGAAAGATTCATAATTGGCCTTGTTTGCAGTTTGAGGTGTCCTGTCAACAGTTTTACAGAGGTCTCTTTTATTATCATTGTCTATAGGGAAAATGCTTCAATGGCTACAGGGATTTTTTTTTTCTGCAGTACCCTGAGTGGTCACTGGGAAAAATTGGCTGTACGGCTGAGCTTCTTTCCTGGGGCGTGGTGAGGAGGGATATCTTGGGTGGGTTCCCAAATCGCATACGTTTTCTTTTTACTTTTGGTAGGTGCTGCAGCTGCCCTTAAAGTATGTACTGCTGCATGCAGTATGCACACAATTGGGACTTACCACTTGCTCCTAACATTACACACTGAACTTGGATCCTCATGCTTTTATATCTGTTACCCTGGAGATAAAACAAATGAGTTACCGAGTTCACCAGAGATGGAGATCAACCTGAAGAGCTTTGCTGCTGTTACTTTGTAATGTATATAGTTCAATATTAAAGTTATAACTGCGCAGATTGTATATTCTAACATATTTGTGACAGTGAAATTAGATCTGCAGTTCTCTGTCACTGTCATTTTCATAGTCATGTAATTCTGTTGTCTGTAGTATTTATTATTATTGTATTCACCCAAACAATCAGTATTCCGATTATTATTATTATTATTGTTCAACTGGTCATCAGTTACTTGAATTCACTGTCATCTGTCATTGTGACTTCTGACAGCTGTCAATCTGTTTGTGGCTCAGTCGATGTGACGTATCGTCCACTGTGCAGAGGATTATGGGTCAGAATAGTCAGAAAAGCATCCTGGCTTGCATACTGCAAAATTGGACTGGAGGTACTAGAACATTCTGGTATTTTTGGCATGCTGCATTTGATATATTGGGACATAATAAATCTTTTCTGGCATACGACTATATAGTACAGTGGTATGGGTATTGGAATACACAGCTAGGCACTATTTAGATTGAGGGAAGTGTTGTTGGAAGATTATTTGTGTCCAGTGAACCTAAGACTTACTAAAGATTTTTATTTTTTTTTTCCGAAAAATAAAATTATTCTGTGATGAAGAACAATTTGTGTCATGTATAGGTAAATTGCAAACAGTTCCTGGGACATGCTGGAGGTTAGTGGTTTAAGACCATGAAACCATGATGCTCCAGGTCCAACTCCAGCCAGGAGCATTTGTTGCATGTCATCACCCTCTGACTCATTGTGTTTCCTATTTCCCCCTACATGGTCATAGCATTAAGTGAAGGCCTTAAACAGTCTTTAAAACATCTGAGTTGGACTGTAAAAGATTAAAGCATAAGATTTAAGTCTGCTGTTAACAAATCTGCATCTGAAAATGGGCTTATCATGGTTATTTTTCTTTTATTCTATCATCTGATCATTTTGTCGTGATCATCTGCACAGCTTTTAGAGCACTGGCACTGTGTAAAGTTGAAAAATGTGGCAGAAGTTTTCCCACCGCTCATTTCATGTGGGAGAACATATCCATTAAAGCTGACAGTCTGGACATGAAACTAATAGCAGCTGTGCTGCTTCACATCTAAAGTAATAACAGCACAGAGCCAAAACATCACTGTATGTCTGTCCAAATGCCTATGAAGCTCATTTTATGTGAGACACCCGTGTAGTAGGAGTATATCATGGAGGAATGTGAGTTTTATGGAGGATTGCAAAGCATTAGTCGGCCTTTGGCTGGATGCTGCTGTGGTTGCAGTGATACTGCTAATTTATATCTGCTGCACAACTAATGGAGGATATAAAAGGCCTCAGGTTTGTCCATTCCAGGCTGTGCGTTTAAAGGGCACAGCTCCAAATGATGAGAAAGCACAGTGTTAAATGAGAGTTTTGTGGCAGTTAGGGTATGTCTGTGCTTGGGTGGTCTGAATGGTGGTGCCTCATTAAATAGCTGAAGAGTTTTGATAGTTTATTAGAACAGATAACACTCTCTTTGCATTTTAGTCTCTATTTCATGCAGACATACACTGTACAGATAAACACACCACTTATTATCACATCTGACAGCTTGTGTTATGTAATTGCTGCAAGTAAAAAACAAAATCTTTTGGTTTGTCAGGAGCAATCATTCCCTTTACTGTCTCTCCCTTTGTTCCTCTCCGTATGAGATCATGGACAAGCCATACTCACTGAACCTTGTGTTTTGAATTTTATTTCAGAATAGATTCTAATGAATAATGTCATGAATAAAGCGCTATTAACACTCCATTGGAGGCAAGGCCACGTCTTTGTGGTCGGATCAAAACCACAGTTCACACAAATGCCCACATTCTTACCTCAAAGCTTCATTGCACCACCAGAGTTTTACTTTAACTTTTTATTGGTCAAATGTTTAAGACAACTTTTTTCCTTATTAAGGCCATATCAAGAAGTTTCAGTCATTTGTCCGATGTCATTCCTCATTTCCTAAATGCCTTTAATTGACTCGTAAACTAAGCAGTTTCACGGTTATCTTTTACCATGAAATCAGTTCATAGTTCCACTTGAGTGTGAGGGTCCACAAGGGTCAATGTAACGTAAATATCCTCATGCGATCATGTCTGCGAGAGTCTGCACAGACCCATGTGGATGTTGCGTGCAGCCCAAACTTTGTGACCACGTGGATTGTATGCATAGCAAGCGCACTGACTGTGCAAGCTACAGTCACAAAATACAGTCTCTTGTTCCACACTCCAGTCCCTTTGAAGGCGTCTGCACCTCGAGCTGGTTTGTGAAGAAGAAGAGGATGACACATGTTGGATGCTTGCTTTGAAGAGAGGTTGTGCAAAGAGATCTGTCATAACCCACATTTATATAATTTATCTGAGCAGAGACAACTGTAACGGAGTGTGGATTGGGAAGTGTGCATGCCTAGAAAGCTAGACTGACACAGCCCCTCAGTTATATGCATGGAACTGAATGCACGTCTGCAGGGCGGTGCAGGGCCGCTAACGTTCATGTCTGACGCGTAAGATATGGACTTTCTCTACCTTGCTATCCTATATTCAGCATTGGCAATGTGTTAGGTTTGCATTGGGATCATTTTCTTACTTCTAACTCTGACTGTAAATAGATGAAACAGAAAATAGCTACGGCCAACAAAGAATTACACAGCATGGGCTTTACAGAGCCCATTTTGGTTTCAGATATGTGACCTCATGTAATATGATTTTCAAATTCTGACCTACTTTAAAAACTCTCCTGGCGCAGAACACTTTAAAGTCACTCTGCAGTTCCTGAAACTCATTATATTATAACAATAATTTCACCTTGCATTGAGAGTGCGTAGGCAGACGCCATCCAACTGTAAGAATGGAAAAAAAAAAAAAAAGGATTGAAAAAGTTGTAGCTCTATCAGAGGTCGGGGGCAAAAGGGTCATGATGAACCAGATGTTTTTCACTGAGCCCTGACTCCACA